AGGCTGTGCTGACACTTTTTACTAAGCTGCGACGGACACGAAACAGCCGCCCGCCACCTGCTCCCTCTGCGAACAAGTAGCGCCAAACGCCTCTTCCCAGATCCCCTCCCACTCTGTTTATCCGGGAAACGCAGAAAGTTGGTGCTTTCCCCGCAGGGAATCGGCCGGGCGCTCCCGGCCCCGGGGACCCGGCAGGGAGGAGCAGGATGTCACCGCGCCGGGAGGCAGTGATGAAGGAAAAAAAAAAAAAAAGCACTAAGGTCTGGTTGTGCTTTGGGTTTGAGCCTCTGAAACGGGGATTTGCTCTGAAATATTTGTGCAGCTGAGCAAACTCGGGGCGGAAAGTGCCGGGAGCAGGGGAGGAGGGTGCTTGGATATCAGCACTTGGTTTCTCCTGCACCGCGGTGCTGTAGCCAGGGGGGGTTGGATCCTTCAGAAGAGGGGTGGCTGGGTCAGATTAAGGCTAGGAGCAGCTCAGAGAGGTCTCAGGTCCTGCCCAGGGCCAGGCAGGCTGAGAGGACAGGTCTGCCTGGAGGAGGAGCAAGGCAGGACAGCAGCAGGGTGGGCACCAACCCTTGTTCTGCACCCCCGTGTGCAAGGGATGTTTGTACAACACGGTGGGCAGAGAGCTGGGCCTGACCCCATCCGCCCCTCCTGGTGCCCCTACATCCCACCTATAGCACCTGGCTGAACAGCACCTGGACACCGACCACCCCATGCTTCAGGTACCAGGTTGTTCCCCACCCCAAAGAGGCTTCACCTCTTCAGGCAGCTCCCTTAATCTTCAGCCTGACCTTTTGGCCAGACTCTGGCATCACCTTCCATGGGCAGGTTACCTCAGGCTGATCCTCTGCAGCCTCCTGGAGAGGGGCAAGAGGGACCTGCAGGACAGCAAGTCCCTGGAGTAACCAAGCAACACGTGTTGGGACTCCAGAGGTTTGCAACAGAACCATCTGGGAACAAATTTTGCAAGAGTCTCACATGGTTTGTATGTCCTGTGCACACCCACGAGTCACTGGGACGGCTGTTAGAGCACCCTGGGCTCCACATCCATCCTCTCCTCCCCTTTCAGCCGGCTGATCCTCCCTCCCATCCCTTCCCCAGCTCCATTATCACTTTCCATCAGGGAGCAGCAGCTCAGCAAACCTTCCCCAGAGCCCAAATGCTGAAGTGTCCCTTGGTGGATGAGAGCAGGGTCTGTCCCAGGCGTTAGGCAGCACTAAAATAACATCCTGCAGCATCTCTTCCACACACTTTCCCTAAGCAACAGTGATCTCTCAACATTACCCCATGCACACAGCAGTGCTTCCCAGCCAAACCGGCTCAATGCTTGGCTCTGGGAAATCTCATTTGCCCTCCCAAAGAGGCCCCACAGAACCTCCAAGTCACCCAGGAGGCAGGAGAGCTCTCCACATCGGAGACAAAGGAAATGAACCGGGGCAAATCCCCCACCCACGGAAACCAGCCCTGGCATCTGGTGATTCACTGTGATTTACACCAGCTGGCTCTGGCCACAGAGAGTTCAATTCAAACCAGCTGGGGCTCTGGCACAGCCCGTGGGGCTGGGGAAAGAGAAAAGAGAAGGCAGGACAGGGTTGTGTCAGTCAAAACAGGGTCAGACCCGGCTGTAGGTGGGTGTCTTGAGCTCCAGGTTTTCACCTTGGGAGCAAGCAGAGGTGTGGGATGGGGTGCTGTGGAGACAGGGTGCTGTCCTGCAGCATGTGTGGGGTAGTTGGTTGGTGCCCAATCACCCCACAGGCTCCCTGTCTGGGAAACAGCACGAGGATGGGTTTCCAGCAGGTCTGGAATCTCAGGCAGTGTGGAATTATCATAGCAGTGGTGCAAGGACTGGGAAGCTCAGATGTGGTTAGTGATGTTCCTGTGGGGAGAGGTTGCTGAGGTGACTTGGGGTTGTTCTTGTCAGTGGTCTGGACTGAAGTGCAGAGCAATGGTTTCTATCTGATTGCTGTTTCTTGGGGTGGATCCCAAAGCAGTGCAGTTGGGCTGGAGGAGGATCTGCTCCAGGTGGGCTCTATCAGCCTGGATGGTGGAGACCCCCCTACAGATCCAGGGGCTGAGCCATGGAGGTGGGAGCTGCTGTCCACCCTGCTAGTGCTCAGAGCCAGCTGCTTGCCAGCATCTGTCTGACTTGGCCAGGACAGGAGGGATGTGCAGCCAGAGCTCCCAGGCTTGTCCCTGCTCAGCTGCTCCCTCTCCACCTGCCCCTGTAGCAGAGCAGCTGCTGCCCAGGGGCTGAGGGGTAACAGCAGCAGTGAATATCCACAGAGCTCCAGGATTTCTGTGCCAGGGGAGAACCATCACCATGTTTATCATAACCACACTGGTGTCCTGAGAACATCAGCAGTTGAGCAGAATGGTGTCAGAAACCTGTAGGAGCTGCGATGGCCTGTCTGTCCCTTGTCATCCCCTGCTCCACTGAGCAGCTGAGGGGAAGCCTCTCTGGGCTGTCAGGTCACTGCATGCACATTTAGTTCCCTTATAGACTTTTCCTGCAATGTTTATGGCCAGGAACATCTTACCAGTGTGTTGGATCAGGAATATTTCTGTTCCCTGATCTCAGGGACACCGGGCAGTCACACCCCATTGCATGGTGACATCCTGCCACGTAGGCATGGCTGGGACTTTGCTAGCCAATCTCCATCATCTCAACTACAGCTTTTATGGAATATCCACTCCTTTCTCAGTGCATTTCAAGTTTTAATCAATGTTCAGAGTCGTGTTAGATGAGAAAAGCAAATGGAACCAGAGGCTGGAAACCCTCAGTCATCAGCTCAGCTCCTGGGTTTTGAGGGGCTTTGGCTGGGTTGTAGCCGTGCAGAAACCTCAGCTGGGACTATTGGAGGAGGAAGGGACCTTGCTTCAAATCATGGCTTTTGGTTTTGGCCCTGACTGGGTTATGCTGAAAGATGAAGCCATGTATTCCTGTGGATGCTCTCCTGAGGAGTGGGAACAGCAGGCAGAGACGGGGCAGGAGGATGGTGCTGAGCTGGGGAACTCTTCGTGGCCATGTTGAGAGGGGCTGGGGCACACATGGATCAGAAGTGTTGGTACCGAGGTGGTACCTGATGATCTTGGCAAGTGTGAGTGTCCAGCTCCTCGAGTTTCCTTCACTTGTTAGTTCCTCCACTCAAACTTTTCAGCTGCTGCTTGGCTCAGGCTGGGTTTGGCTCTGCTGCCAGAGGCATCTGGCAGAGTTGGATCTGGGGTCCGTGAGACCTCCTGGAGCATCTCCTCTCCACCTGACAAAGCTCCCCGTGGTTCTGAACTCACCTCCCACTCAGGGACACCTCCTGTACTGGGGCTGGTGAGCTGAGAGGGTGCAGAGCACCCAGTGCACCACATCTGCCCTCCTTGCCTGGGCTGGCTCTGAGCATCCACCACTGGAGATCAGCTCCTCCAGCATGGCCCTGTCCCAAAGCTGGCTTCATACCACGGCCCCTGTGTGCACAGCAGAGCTGCAAACAGAGTTATGGCCAGGAAATGCTGCCACTGCTATGGCTGTGCAGCCACTTCCAAGCTCTGTGCCTGTGTTTCCCCTCCCAACCTGCTTAGTGCCAGTGTCCCTGGGAAGGAACTTGTGCTGCAAGGGCTTTTGCAGCACACAAGGAATGAGGCCTCAAGCCCTGCTGAGGCTGTGGCATGTGCCACTCCGGAGTGTGACACAGCCTTGCTGATGGGGGACAGGGAAGATGCCGCACAGCTTCTCCCCCAGGGTTTCATGTCGTGGTACTGGAGAGGAGGGGGTGTTGCCTGGGCAAGTGTGTTCTGGTCTGGCACTGCCCATGTGGGCTGGGGCAGGATATGGGCACCTGGCATGCACTGGCTGTGGGATACCAGCAGCATTCCCATCCTTCCCTGCATCCCTGCCCTGCTGTGGCACTTCAGTTTTCACACCTGGGCTCCATGGGTGGCTGTGGAGGGATGTGGGCAGCTGGGACAGTGGAGGTGTCTGGGGGCTGTCACTGTACCAGACGTGTCCCATTTTTTCCCGAATAAGGGGATTCTGTGTGCTGGGAGCCTCTCTCCAGCACCTGTGGGTGCTGAGGAGACATGAGATGTGCACGGGCAGCACGTCCATGAGCCCACCCCGATTCTGGGAGCTGGCACGGGGTGGTACATCTCCAGCTGTGGCACCACTGGAATGTTCCCAGCAGCGGCTGGAGGGCACCAACCACGTGATGCTGTCCAGCCACATCCCACATCCCACATCCCTCACCGGAGCAGGTCCCTGGGGAGCAGCAGCTCCCGGGGCAGGGCTCAGCATCCCTGCAGCCACCCAGGCCCGTGGCCCGGCTCCAGCCCTGGTGGCAGTGCCAGGAGGCCGTGCCAGCCCTCCCGCCTGCCGCCGCTCCGGCCCCTGCGCCGCCCGGGCACGGCCGGCGTGTCCCAGCAGTGGGGGCCCATTAGAAATGAAATGTTCCTACTGGGGCATTTTATTTGCACACTTCAGTAGAGTGGACACCAAAAGGCTTTGCTAATGCTTCATGGGCTGCTAATTTCCTCTCTGACCCGCATTGTCGGAGGGTGACCCCAGCCCGAATCTCTCGGCAATGAATGCCAAAGGCTGACACTGGTCCGGGTTAGGGGTGACAATGGGGCCTCTGTGGGCTCCGGGCAGGCTCCAGTTGGGAGCTGGAGAACAGGGAGAATTTGTGTGGCTCTCAAAAGCTCTGGGTGGCACAATAAGGGAGGCCCCCGGGGTCTCCCAGGAAGACAGAGGCGGCCCAGGGAAGCCGGGCTGGGGGAGGCGGGCGGGAGGATGGTTTCCTTTGTGAGCAGCTTTCTTTAGAAAGGAAGGGTTTTCTGAATGCCCCCTTAGACGACCCAATCGGGGCCTGGCAGATGGATATCAACAGGCACGCTGCTTATTCATGGCAGGCTGCAGCTTTGAGCCGTCCCCCCTTCCCCCAGCCCTTTATTCATTTTAAGGCTAATTTGTTTTGTTAATGTTTTCTTGCCCTCCCCCTCTCTCCGTGCAGATTGTGACTCATACTGCAAAGCCTCCAAGGGGAAACTGAAGATCAACATGAAGAAGTACTGTAAGAAAGACTATGGTGAGTCCTCCCTCTCAGCGCTGCTGCTTCCCAGGGATGAGAGGTGGCAAAGGGATGCAGAGGAGGAGCATCCCCCTCTGGAGTGTCCCCAAGCCCTCCCAGCCCAGGGAAAGGCTGCTGGCTGTGTCCCAGCCATGGGCAGCCCAGCTCTACCTGTGCTGGGTCGTGTGCAATTTTGGGAATGATTTTTGGCAGGTTTGGAGAGGAAGCCCTGGGCAGCAATTCTTGGTGGAGAAAGTGATGCAGTGTGTTTCTTGGGAAATTGGGATGAGGACACTATGGACCCTGATTAGAGGGTTGTCTTAGCATCTGCAGGGAGACTCATATTTTCCAGGTATTTCCAGTGTCTTCTTGGTTACAATGACACCATGTCCCCTCTCTTCTCACAGTGCTATAAGGTACAGCAGCTTTCAAAAAGTGTGCTTTGCCATGGGGATGAGCAGAAAGCAGTTCCCTGTCACCCAAATCCATCCCCCTTTAATCCCAGGATAGTTCAGAAGGTGATGCAGCCCTGGGACAAGCCAGGGACACTGTGGAATCCTTGCTGGTACCCAAGGTCCTGAGAATCCTTCCACAGCTCTGCCCTGCAGCAGTGGCTTGGAGCAGGCACATCCCAAGCTCTCTGCTCCTGGGATTATTTTTAATGTGGGTCCATTCCCAACATGGTCACCAGTGGGTCCTTGCAGTGTCCATGCAGGACATATCCAGGGTGACCCCAGGAGGAGCTTCTCTCCTCCTTGGCTCAGACATCACCCACTGGCAGGTGGGGAGGGATGGCTCTGCTCTGTCCCTCCTTTGCCAGCCATGCCAACGCTGCTGGGATGAGCTGAGTGTCAGGAACAGGACCAACCTGGAAAAATCTCCTTAAATACAGATGCTGTGTGCCAGGGGATGGTTAGAAATGCAGCTAAACTTATGGAGGGGTTGGAAGTTATCTCCCCCCTCCAGGGACTGTAGAGGGGGGAGCAAAGTGTCTGGGGGAAGAACCAACCATGAGCTTTTGAGTTTGACCCAGGGATGGGGAGTGGGCTGAGCACTGGCAAGCCTAGCTCAAAGCTGAGCCTTCACACATGCAAAACCCAGGGAATATGAGATGCTGCAGGGTTTAGCATCTGTCCAGTGCCTGCCAGTCTTTCCCACCACAGTGGAGGACTACATAAAAGATATCTAATATCTATATCTACATATAAATATATGCATGTGTATATTTGTATCTGTGTGTATATATATTTCCACCAAACTATCAAGCAAAAGCATCTCATTCCATCTGCATGAAAACACCCAGGAGTGGAGATACCTCCTTCCTCCTTCAAACACACAGCAGCAGCTCAGCATGTCTGGGAAGTGTTTGCAAGAGCAGAACGAATTCCCATTTAACAGCCCATCCCTGGACAAGGCACTTCCCAGCAGGGCTGGCTGAGGGGATGCTCCACACTGGCTTTGTGCTCTGATACTTCCCCCTGAGCTCAGGGGAGGGAAAAAGGCCTTGGGAGCAAATATTTTATTTCCATTCCCATTTATTCTTCCTTTATCCACATGGCAAAATGGTTGTGGAGCAGAGAGTATCCCTTGACAAGGCTGGGCTGCAGTTGTGGTCCCCATCCAGCAAGGCTGTGCCGAGGTCTGGTCGTGCTCGTAGGAGCTGCTGGAGGTTCATCACATGTTGGAAAGGTCCAAGGAATGCCTTTTCCCTTGGATAAAAGGGTTTAATGGCACATGGGAAAGTCTCTGCTAAAAGGTTATTAAGGTTATATATGGGGTTATTAAGGAGGGGAGCAGGGCTGAGTCCCAGGCCACTAAAGCCATGGAGTTTCCTTGTGGGTGAATTCTCTGCTGGCTAAGAAGCTACAAACACATTTCCCACATGTGGACATGCATCCCCCATTTTCCCACCTGGCTTCTCCAGCATGTCTTGAGAGCTGAGCTCACACTGGAGCATTTGCATTCTGAAGAGGGGAGAAAACAGTTCCTGCTTGACTGCAGGAAACTTGGACTTGTCATGATCCAAGTCGGCCCTGGGGGTTGGGAGAATGGAAGGGAGGACAAAAAGGCAAGTGCATCCCCCTCAGAGCACTTTCCAGCCAAGCAGTGTCACCTTTCCCTGTGCTCTTGGGGCGAGGGTTGGGAGGTTTTGGTGGTGGCAGCACCTGGGTTTTGCTGAAGGGGCAGCCCTGGTGTGGTTTTGCTCCTTGGCTTGTCCAGTGTCACCAGGGGGGTGTTGGGGGTTCAGCTGAAAGCTCACACTTGGTTTTGTTTGAGGCTGTAAAGTGGCTCATGGGCTCCAACAGACCCCGGGGAGATGAGAGCAGGTCAAGAGCTTTTTTGGGCAGAAGATACCCCTGGAGCCATGAAAAGGGGAGAGATACCCCCAGAGCAGTGATTAGGGGAGCTGGAAAGAGCTTTTCTCTTCTCTTTTATCCCGCGGCAGCACTTCTGCAGCTTCACCAGTGAGCCAAAACCATTTGCTGGTTTGGGTGAGCGAGTGCAGGAACTGGGGTGCTCCCAGCTGAGCCCTCCTGAATCTGGAGGGGTCCCCAACAGCCCCAACCAGCCCCACAGCCACGGCAAATTTGCTTTTCCAAGGGCAAACCAGCCTGGTGAGGCAGCAGGGTGAGCGGTGCCGTGCCGGGGCAGTCCAGGCTTTCACCAGGGTGAGGGAGGGAAGAAAGGGATGAAAAGGTGCAGGGAGGGATAATAAAGACTTTGGGACTGACACCCCAGCAGGAAGCCAATTAGGAGGCTCTTTTCCTCACCGTTCTGCTGCCATCGCTGTGCTGAATGTCCTAAAAGGCCCTAATTAGCTTGAACAGAGTTACTTCTCCCGCGGGCTCAATCGGGAGCTATCATCCGCCCGCGCTCCTCAATGGGGCTTTTTAGCTCCCCGCTTCATTCAACCATTCAAAGGGGATATTTTCCCTTATTTATTTTTCTTATCTGTTTGTTTTTGTTGGGTTTGTGGGTTTTTTCTTTTTATTTTAAATTGGGCTTTTTCCCTGCGAGGTGGGTTTTGGTGCAAATATTTGGAGTGAAACAGGACGCGGGGAGGGCGGGCTGGGAGATTCGGGGAGGGGAGAAGGCAAGAAGAGAAGCAGAAAAGCTTTTTCTGGGTTTACTTTGGCTGCGTGGGGGAGCGCAGGGTCACCCAGCTCCCAGAAATCCAGGGGTAGGGGAGGGGTTTCACTGGGTTGGGATCACTTAAATTAGCCTGGGGAAGCAGAGGGGATCCCTGCTGAACCCACTGAGGGTGGAGATTCCCCCGTGGCCCAAAAGGAGAAGGGATTATTTGATTAGAGCAGGTGATGCTGATCCAGGTGATGTGGGACCATCACTTGGGTGCTGCCATTTCATCCTGACCTTTGGGGCTTTTCCCACTCTCTGTGTGATTGTGGCTCATCCAAGTGGCTTTGGTAAAGGAAACCTGAAGCTTTTAAACCTCATTTCCCCCCTGATTCTGAGCCCCCTGTGCTGTAGCAGGGCCTGATCCTGCCCAGATGATCCCAGAGCGTTGTGCTGGGTCCTGTGTCCCCAGCCCAGCACTGGGGAGAGGATGGGGCTGAGGAACAGGATCCTCATCTGAAAGGTGAGATCATCTGCTCACTTTGCCCTTTCTTGGAAAAAAAAGTGAAGAAAAAATCCTTCCTTTTGCGGAGCCTTCACTTAGTCACCCCCTTTGTCGAGAGGAGCTTGGCAGGGGCTGCTGGAAAAAAGGAAAAACGTGTTTTCAAAAGGCAGCTTGCAAAGAGGGAGGGGGGAGAAAAAACCCTGAATCCACAGGAAAACACAAGGCACGGGGGGAAGCACCATCCCCGGTGCTCACAGACCCTTCCACTGCCCAGGAAGGTGGAGAAATCCCATTCCTGGAGCGGGGAAGTGCCGAGCAATCCCTCCTGTGCTGAGGGAGTCACTCCACGTGCTGAGGGAGTGAGCCCGGGCAGCGAGGGGACCCTCAGCACCATGGGGAGGGACCGTGCCCTGGCCAGGGCACACCCAGGCCGGCCGGGATTAGGGGTCATAAATCTCCAATATTAAACCAGTAGGAAATTGGCAACTGGAGCGAGGCAAAGCCGCCGCCAAATAAATTAAAAATTAAAAAATAAGGAGAAAAATCCCATTTTAACTCTTTGCTCCAGTGAGGAGCCAGCCCTTTACATTCCCAAACCCAGATGGTGTCGGGGTCACCTTTAGCTGCTGGGTTGGAATAAAATCCACATGGGCTCCACTCTGCTTGTGCAGTGAGATGGGAGCCAAGCCTTTGGAAAGCCCCATCTCAGGCTGGGACACCTGAACCCCAAGCTCCCACTTCCATCAGTCCATATTAAACACCTACTTCCATCAGTCCAAAGACCCTCTTGTTCTCCCAGCAAACTGCTCTGCTCCCACTGCCACCCCCTGGGCCCATGGAATCTTCCCCAGGGGCCAGCACAGTGATGCTCCCAGTCTCTGGAAGCTCCCCAAAGCTCCAGCTCCCATGGACAGGTCAGTGCACAGGATATACATGATATTCTGTGTATCCACAATAGGATGCACAGATTTGGCCCTGCAGCCCAGGCCTAGGTCAGCCTTGGCAGGGGAAACCTCGAAAGCAGAAGATTTATCACAACCCCCAAAAGCAAACCTAAAAATTTAAATAATTAATTTTTTTCCCAGCCTCACTCTTTTCATGGCAATCCCAGGATTTTCGGGCCCCTGACTCATGGTCTCTGAATGCTGCAAGGAGCTGCTTTGCTTTAAGCCTCGTGCAGCTGCCCTCAGACATGTTGTTTGGAGGCTTTGGGTTGGGTTTTGTTTTTATTAACATCAAGCCATCCACCCTTCTGCTTTCATCTCCAACATCCAGCCTTTGGGTCTTTCTTGTGGCTGGAGGCTCCCTGCCAAGCCTCCGGGAGCCAGGCAGCATCCTGAGCCCCTGAGCTGAGCTCCAGGGAATGCAGGAGGGGAGCAGGGACACTCCATCCCCTCCCACAGCCCAGGGACCACTCGGCCACCTTCTTCTTCCAAAGCAGCATAACGTGGTGAGACTTGTCAGGCACCATCCAGGCAGGATTTGTGGTCCAGGAGCACCAGTGTAGGGTGGGATGTGGTTCATGGGGCTGCTCCATGTGCTCACCAGGTCCCCCAGCTCTCTGTGCCCATTGCTGACTGGGGCTCCTTTGGGGCTGGCAGGGAGCAGAACAGTGAACCTGGAGAAAAATCCCTGGAGCTGTGGGGGTGTCTGGGGTGCGGCAGCCTCAGACTGCCTGCAGGGCTCAGCTCCCCACTGTTTGCAAAGCTCAGGGACAAGCCACTGGGGCCCATCCTCACTGGAAACCAATGTCACCAGCCTGCACTGGGGCCCATCCTCCCTGGAAACCACTGTCACCAGCCCCAGCTGGAGCAGCAGCACTGTGAAAGCTGCAGTTTGTTTGATTTTTGTGCTCCTGCTCCAGGTCACCACCCACTCCCAGGGCATCGTGGCCAGGGGAGCACCATCTCCCCAGTGGTGAATAACCACCATCCCCTATTGCATCCTCTCATCTGGCTGCCCCATGGATGCTTTCAGGGATGTTTTTCCAGGGATGTGGTGACAGGGACAGTCTTGGTAACAGGGGTTCAGTGGGAAAGCAAAGTGAGAGCAGTTCACCCCAGCACAGACAAAGCCAAGCTTTGCCCTAGGAAATGGCAGGTAAGGACAACACCAAGCACCAAAACCAGCTTTGGGAGGTGGAGGGGGCACAGCTGAGCCCTCTCCAAATCATGAAGGGGCTGAAACCTTCTCTTTCATGAGAAATGAGAGTCTAAATCCCTGGGGATTCCCTCAGGGAAGCCAGCTTAGGTATGTCTCTGCATGTCTTGTGTCCTTTGGGAGATGCTGGAGAAGCTGGTCCCACTCCACCACTGAAACACCCAGGCAAGGCACTGCTAAACCTGGACTCCAAAACCAGGCTCAGGGGGAACTGCATGTCCTGGATGTGAAGTTATGGGCAGAAAACGGGCTGTCAGGGGAGGCAGCTGCAGCCACGGCAGCCAAGCCTTCCTCAAAGCTTTCACTCCTTCCACTTCATTAATAAAAGGGGAAAAAAATAAGAGACGGGGGCCTTGACATCAAAAAAAATACAGACTGTGTGTTTTAGAGCGGAGTTTCCTGTAACCACCTCTCTCCGGTTCCTTTTCATTCATTTTCTCCATTTTGTCAGTGTGGACCCAAGGCAGGTCAAAGGTTTAAGCTTTTTTGGAAAGATTTGTTTCCAAAAAATAAAAATTGGCTAATCTTCACATTTTGTTACCTTCACACCAGACAGGGAAATACATGGTCAGAGCTTAGGGTTGTTTTTTTTCCTTTTTTTTTCCTCTTTTTTTTTCTTTTTCTTTATTTTTTTTTAATGAAAGCATCTGGCCTCCATGACATGCTCTGAAAAAAAAATACCCCATATATTTTGCAACGTGTTAAAAAGCTGTGCTGGGCTGCAGAGCTCTGCTTCCTCCCAGAGCCTGGGATCAGTTGGCACGGTGTGTTTTTATAGAGGGGGTGATTCTCCTCCATCTCTAACCCGGTGGGGGGAAATTGGGTTGTTAAAAGGCAAATGAGAGAGTTTTGCCTGGTTTTTTGGGGAGTTTCTTCTCCTGCTGTTAATTTATAGAAGCAGGATTGGCCCTGCTTGGGCCTGGCCAGACAGCTGAGACAGGCAGGTGGATGGGCAGGGGGTTATAGCTCCCAAGGCATGGGGGAAGAGTGGGAAAAAGGGAAAAGCTCAAAGATTTAGTAAAAAAGCACTTTATAGTTGGGCTGCACCAGCCTGCACGGAGCCCCTGCCTGCTCTCCCAGCCAGGGCTGGTGTCACCACCTGGGATTTTGCCTCTGTCTCTGCTGGTGGGGACAGTCAGCAACAGTCAGCAACCCTAGGAGGGCTGGGTAGTCACTGCCTGGTGAGGATATTTTCCTGGAAGCTGACTTTTAGTGAGGAGGAATGTGCTCAGACTCCCTGGAGGATGCAATCCCAGCTGATTGCAGTTCCCATCCTCATCTGCCACCCCTGCACTGTGAGGAACTGCTGTCAGGAGGAAGGCCACTGGTGCAGCAGGAGCTGCCTCCAGGCTTGTATCTCCTCTTCCTCACCGTACTGTGGGGCCAAACACTCCCTTTCCCATGTAAGTCTCTTTCCTTCCCTTTGATTTAAACCCAAATCAGGGTTAAACCCAAGGATGTCACCTGAGGAGGGCACAGCAGCACCTGTAGGGATGGCCAGGAGACATGGATGTGTCCAGCATGGGCGAGGTGTCCAAGGAGGAGGAGGAAGAGGAGGAGGAAGGCTGGCAGAAGTGACCATTGTCTGCTTGGGGCCACCTGGGCTGCAGGACAAAACCACGGTGGCTGCAGGGCCTTCTGAACTCAGTCGTGAGCAGAGCCCTCCCTTCAAGCATCCAGGTGTCCAGCACCATCCCAGCTGGACCTTGTAGAGAGCCCTCTCCCACCCCAGTGGTGGCTGAGCCAGCTCTCCTCTCTGTCCCTGTTGGCACTGTGGGCCACCCCTCCTGCCCAGATGCTGGTGGCTGCAGGGATAATGTCACGTAGGAACCGTGCTTCAGGAAAGAGCAAGAGGTGCAGTGCTGGAGGGCTGAGCCCTCCCCAGGCTTTCTCAGCCCATATGGCAACAGGGGAGATTACACAGCATCAGCCACAGGCTTGGAAAACATCATCACCTTGCTTATGGATCACAGTTGAGCTCCCATGTCAGTCCTCCTTAGGGAGTTTGTGATCTCCCAGTTCTCTGCCAAGCACAGTAAGTTATCCCCTTGAAGCCCAAGGCTGCTATTCAGCACCTGCAGAGATGCTCCAGTGACTGCCAGAGCCAGAAGTAAAGTTGGACACTGCCACTGACCTCTCCTTGTGCTCTCTGAGCCCCACCCTCAGTCCTTCTTCGGTGCTTTTTCCAGCAATGGCTTTTTCCACAGCAAGACATGGACAACCTTGACTGAGGAACATCTCCTGGAAACATCTGACCAGGGATCCTCCCCATTTCCAAATCCATCCATAGGTCTGAACCTGCTCAGTGTCTTGCTCCAAGGCCGGGGTCTCATGAGGAGCTCCCTCCTTGCACTGCCCCTGGGCAGATGTGCTGCAGCCCCACACAGGTCTTTCCTACCTCCAGATTCCAAGTGCTTGGAGATAAGGAGTAGTCCCAGTGTTTTGCTCCAGACTGGGGCTCATCTTCTCTTAAAACCTGGGGCTGCCTGAGAGTCCTGGTGCAGAAGCACCAAGTTGCCCATCCAGTGAGGAAGGGAGAGCAGAGGGGCTGGAGGGTTCCTGCAGAAACACATCCTCTGGCTGTGAGAGCATGAGAGCATGAGCTGCTCTCTGGACATGGGGATTGGAAAGAATATTCATCCCATGTCCTAGGACGCAGCCTGGGGCTTTAGCACTGTTTGGGAACAGGCAATTCCCTGTCCTGCCCCCTCCAACACCTATGCATGGGGCTCTGCCCTGTGCTCAGGCCACCCCCGAGGCTGGAGGCACCAGCTGTCCCAGGGTTTGAATTCTCTCTGTGCTTGTGGCTTCAAGGGAAAAGACAGGTCCAGTGTACACGAATCCACCTGGGTTTTTTTAAGATTTTCTGATCACTTTAAGAGTTCACAGGTGCTGGGGCAGATGTTGCTGCACCAACAGCCCCAGGAGCTGCTCTGCCTGTGCTTGTTTCACAACCACGTCCTGGGAGATGCTGGTCCTCCCTTGGACACAGAGGAGGACGAGCAACCTGCTCCCTGCCACTGCTCTGGGTAGCCCTGTGTCATTCCCAGGGCTGCCAGCACAAGGAATGCCATGGTTCTTGCTGTTACAGCCACTCCTGCAGCCCCCGTGGGCCTTGGGTTACCACATCCATTCTCCCTGGGAACCGAGGGCTGTGTGTGGCAGCAGAGCTGGAGAGCATCTCCCAAGTCTGTGGTGGTCTTAGAACCTTTGCTGAGACCCTCAGATGCCAGAACTGGCTGCTCTTGCTCATGGTGGGTGGCCTGGGGACAGGGTCAGTTTTGGGGCACCCACCACCCTTGTCCGCTGCCACCCCCAGCCCGGGCTCTGGAGATAAAATCCTTCTTCTTCACACAGCCCATTTAGGTAAGACTTGAAATTCATTTTCTTCTCACCAGCTCAGACAGTAACATCTTTTCCTCTCTTGCCTCGTGTGTTGTTTTTTTTCCAGCTGTTCAGATCCACATCCTGAAAGCGGAAAAAAATGCCGACTGGTGGAAGTTCACGGTCAACATCATCTCCGTCTACAAACAAGGGAGCAACCGGATACGGCGCGGAGACCAGACCCTGTGGATCCACTCCAAGGACATAGCATGCAAGTGCCCCAAAATCAAGCCCATGAAGAAGTATTTGCTGCTGGGCAACAACGAGGACTCTCCTGACCAGAGCGGCATCATTGCGGACAAAACCAGCCTGGTGATCCAGTGGCGGGATACGTGGGCCCGGCGGCTCAGGAAGTTCCAGCAGCGGGAGAAGAAGGGGAAGTGTAAGAAAGCCTAAAAGGAGGAGAAGGCCACGGAGGGCGCGGGAGGGAGAGACTGACTGTGCATGCTGCTTTGTGTAGAGCTGGGGCGGGCAGGGGCCGGCGACGGGGACGCGCCGCCGGGGCGGGCTGGGGGGACGGGAGGGGGATCGTGGCCGTGGGGCTGTCGGGATTGCACCTCGTATTCCGGGGGAAAACAAAACTTAAACCCAACAAAAACAATCGTGCACATGGACACAAACCAAGGGGAGTGTGGGTGCGGCACCCAGTGCCCCCCCACGCTTCTTCCTGCCCCCCATTGCCGAAGAACTCAGAGACACCAAACTGCCTTCAGCTGCTAACATCTGCTGCTTCCAAAGCACGGCATGGGAACATCAGACCTGTAAGAAACTAATCAACAGCAACGCTGGAAATTAACTCCCCATCCCCAAAATACGTATTCGCAGCTTAGGTTGACCAAGACAGTTACTGTAGAGGAAACTAAACAGAGACTTTTCGCCGAGGACAGATCCGAGATCGACTGACGGGTTATCGAAGACTTGGGTACCCCAGAGCCGTAACCACCACCCGCCGTGTGGTCCCTGGGGAGGCCGAGGTCTCCAGCCGTGATGATGCTCTGAGCCCAGTTTAGGCACAGCCAAGAGGGGACCTTGTTGGTGGGCAGCTTCCCCATGTGCATAACCCGGGGAGCGACTCCTCGCTCCAGCCCCCACACCCTGAGAAGTGCTGCCCCCACCACACTGGAGGAGCGTGAGCCCACGGGGTGCCCTCCCAGCAACCGATTCCCAGCCAAGGAGTTAATAACCAGGTTCCCCAAGGAAACACCCAGACTTGGCCAAAACCTGGCATCCAGCCCCAGAAGTTCTCCAGAAGATCCCTGAGTCTCCACTGCGGCCACCCCTGAGATCTCCTTCATGGGCTCGGTCCTCTCTGGTGCTGTCAGCAGACCATGAACCCTCAGATGACTGAAGATCTGTGCAGATGACACCCAGATCCTGGCTGGCCACTGGTTTCACTGGCAGTTCTCCCAGATCCACACCAGCTCTGCCCTCACTCCCCCTGGAGCTGTAGCTCCCTGGCATCCCTGCATTAGGTGGCCACCTCCTTGGAGACAAAGGAGGTGGGACAGTGAGTGCCAGGGACTGTCCCTGCGGGGCCAGGGTAGAGCTCTAAGGCTTGGCTGAGGTAGAGCCCGTGCAGGGCAGAGACCTGCCTGAGGGAAGGGACTGGATGAACAAAGTGTGACCCACCTGGAGCTCCCCAAACTGTTCTCCTCCTTCTGCTGGGGGTGAAACCCCCAAATTTAAATTTCCCAATTTCAAATCACAAACACACTAAGCCAGGTAGGGGCTGCCTCACCTCCAACCTGCATCCTGAGGGCAGGCCTGGCTGTTGAGCTGGCACCCAGGCACTGCACCCCCATGCCAGGCTGCTCCCCTGCCACAGCAGCCCGTGAGGAATGGGGATATCCGAGTTCACCTCATCCAGGGAGACAGGAAAGGCAGGGAGGGCAGGACGGGTACCTGGAGGAGAAGCAAACATTAGTCGCTATGAAAAGCAAAACCTCCCTGATATTTTTCCTTTTAGGAAACTTGGAAACATCTATTTTATGACATTTTCCAGTGGTTTTGCCTTGTTTTATAGCAATTGACAATATTTATATAATGACATAAACCACCATAAAGCGAGGCAGCCATGTAAATAGGTGCAAAGTGGAGGCTCCCAGGGAAGCTCCAGCCAGCACTGGGCTGCTGGAGACACCACCCGGAGGGAGCAAGCTCTGCTGAGCCTCCCCCTGCCACCACAAGGCCCTCCAAAATTAGTGTGGGTATTAGCAGAAAAATCCCACCCTGGACATCAAGCAAATCCCCCTCAAGTCTGTGTTTTCTCCCCTTTCCCAGAGTGGACTTGGTTTTTCTCATCTCAGAGCTCAAGGAGAGGTGACAGTTTTGCAACCCAGGGAACCCAAGCCACCAAGTTTTGAGGAACAAAATCTGACCTCAAGTGTCTAAATGGAGACTTAAAGCCCCAGAATGGGGTTGGATGCTCTCCTGCAGCCAATGTCAGCTGATGCCAGGGACACCCCACCAGCTGGAGACAGCATGTCCTTGGTTATTTGGGATGTCCTGAACCACAGGAGACCTTCAAATGGCCTAAAACCAATGGGATCCAACCGAAAGCCAGTTCACTTGGAGTGCAGGAAGGCAAGGCCAGGGGACACGAGGACTTGGGAACTGCCCACTGAGCACACCTGGACACCCAACGCTCACTCCCGTTTTCCAACCTTGTCGAGCACAGCCACCCTCCCCAGCACAGCCTTGACACCCCTAAACCCACCCAGGGACACCCCCAACCCCTTGCCCGCTCCCACTGGTCTCAGAGGCTGCAGAAGAACCACCACCCACTCCATGCCATGGCCAGACCCCCCCAGGCACCGACACAACCTGGGAAATCTGAAGGAAAGGAGTTCGCACAGGACATGGAACAGCTCAGATCCCACAGGGGTGAAGTCCCCATCCCTGTCCCACCAGGATCCTGTCCCGTCATCCCCGCTGGAGTTTTGCATTTCCAACCAGACCAGGGAAACCCCTTCACTCCATGCACTGTCCCCCAGTGCCCTTCATGCACTCCCAGTAACCCTGACCTGGAGGAGCTGCTGGTGGAACTGGCACACAGCCTCCCCCACACCCATTTTCGGGGTGCCCAGGGATGCAGCACTTCCCTGCAGCCACCCCCTGCTCCAGGACATCTCCTAGGGGGACACCTCTGTCCAGTCACCCAAAGAGGGACAAGATGCCCCCCCCCAAACACGCCCTGCACGGCCGGGGGTGCAGCTCTGAGGGGAACCAACCACACCACGACCAGCAAAGAACCCGGGCACCCCCACGGCCCTGGGGACAGGATGGGGGTCTGGGAGGGCAGCGGGGGTGACCAGGGAAGGGGCCGTGGTGCCTCCAGGAGGGCTTTGGAGAGCAGCTGAAATGCCAAAACAATCATCACTGACGGTAGCACCCGACAAAAGTCGCTTCGTCTCGTTTCTGTTCGTCTCGTCGTGTCCGTGCCCTCTCCCCGCACACCCCCCTCGTCCCCTCACAAAACCTGTGTTGTTTTGGGGTTCAACTGTTTTTGTTGATTTTTTTTTTATTATTTCTGTTAATATCTTGAACTGTAAATGTTGTTTAGTTATGACCATGGCAGACTGCTTTGGGCGATGTTTCTTTACAATGCATACTAATATATTATGGTTATTATATATGAATATATTTAATGACACGTGAAAAAGTTGTGGATTTTCTTATTGTTTTTCCCAGTTGTTCCTTTTTATTTTTTTCTTTTGTTTTTATTTTTCCCCCCTCTTTGTTTGTTTGTTTGTTAGATTGGCTGTAATTTACCTGAAGGAGCTTGTAACTGTTCAGCACCCACTCGGTAGAACTAAAGTCAGAAACCAGTTGAATAAACTCTTGTAAACTGTAAAAATCTCCATGGATCTCTGCTTCCTCCCACCCCTCAGGCTGGCAAGGGACAAGGAAGTGACAGTGTCCTCTCTGCCTCCCTAGGTCTGCCATTGTCCCCTTGGCAGGGTTGAGGTGGCACAGCTATTTTTGACTGCCAGTCCCAGCCACGTCCCCCAAATATCCCCCTGGCACTGCTCCCTGCCCTTGGGGACAGTGGGGTCACCATGGGGGGGGTGGGGGGTGGGATGGGGGGACCCTCCCAGCACCTCTGCTGCCAGAGGAGACTGAGCCCTGGGACAGAGCCAGGGCCTGCCAAAACCCGTGGGACCCCATACAGAGTTGGGGGACAGGTGAGGGGACAGGGCAGAGCCAGAGTCTGGGCTCAGGGGAGCTGCCAACCCCACTCCAGACCTATTTCTGTCCCATGCACAGGCTGCTCACCAGCACTGTCCCTTCCTGCCCATCCTGTGCATCAGCTCCACCACCCATCGCCCACGGGGGAACAGTGGGGCCAGTGCTGCTGCTGCACCCCAGGGCTGGTGGCACCGACAGGATGGAAACCTGGAGGAGGGGGGAACTGAGGCAGCAAAACACTTCCAGGGAGAAAAATACAGGCAAAAGGTCCTGCAAACTGCCGAGGGGTCAGACCCCTGACCCTGCCCTCGGCATCACTGGTAATTTATGGATCCAAAAACATCTCGGAGGTCAGAAATCTCAGATCTTTATTGCACAGACAAATGGGCCACAAGTGACACCCCCTCTGCTCCGGGGCCATCGCCTGTGGCTCCACTGAGGAGCAAATGGGTTTCCCACATTGCTCTGGCTCCAGGCAGGTGGCCAGTCAGCCAAAGGTGACACGGTGGCTCTGGAAAGAGGGGGATGAGCCTATTCCCACTGAGGGCCAGATCTGGAGCAGTTCTCCCAGCCTGGTCCCACCAGACAGCGTGGGAGACCAGCCATCCATGCCCTGAGCTCAGCACTGAGCTCACACCAGAAATGACAGCATGTGAAAATGCCCAGCAGCCTCCCAAGGTCATCTCTGTCCTCATGTAGGAGCTGGGGACATTTTACTCGGGGCACTGTGACATCCAAGTGTGTGTAGCACGTACCAGGCCTTCCCCCAGCACTTGTATTTTTGATAAAATAACAACTGGAAGCAACTGAAGTCCTGACCATGTCGTCCAAGAGAGAAAGGGAGGAGTGGAAGGGAAGGCAAAGGGAATGTGTCTCTCTGGGCACATTCCAGGAAGACCTTTGCTTGGAGAAGCCACTGCAGGTTGGCTTCTCCAACCCTGCTGCTCAGAGCCAAAAACCAGCAGCTCTCGTATTTTAACCTTCCTTTTTCTTTAGAGGGGCAGGGAGACAGCACAGCTTTCCTCCTCACAGCAGAACGCTGCCAAATCTGCTGCTTTTTAATAAAATTCCTCACCCACACGACACATTAAATGTTACCTAAAGGGCAAGTCTGAGAACCCCTTTGTTCGACATCTCGGAGAGCAAATCCTCGTGTTTCCACCCAACAGGAAAAATGTGCCTGAGGACCCAGTGGGTCAGAAACCGCCTTTTTAAAGGCTCGACCAGAACAAAGTCACAATGTAACGTTGATCGGGATGAGTTACACGTCCATCCTGCACGTCCTGGGAATTCAAACAAAACCTTAATTCCCTCTGTAAAT